TGCATCCGCATAATTAAAATTCGTCATTGCCAGCAAAAACGAGCGAGAACGTACCAAGCATTCTTCCGGGCCGAGCGAACTGCCAAACGCTGCTTTTCCTAATGGACTGATTTTGTAGATCTGTAACTCCTGATCGCACTCTATCAGTCGCTTGTGGCACAGCAAAGAATCTTGAGCAGACTTCACGACGTCATCAAAAGGCTGTGTAGAGTTGAGAAGGGTGCAGAGCGGTTGACATCCTGTGCCCACCTCCAAAACGAGCTCTCATCATTCCATTCTTTTCCTCGGCGAGATATGACTGCAACGGTTGACAACCTTCTTTCAGAATGGGAAGCTCCTCACTTTTACAGATTAATATCTGCAAAACCAACATTCGGCAAATTTCAGAATACATAAACGAGACAAGTCTTACACTCTCGCCATGCGTGTCTATCCCTGCTCTTCCTGCTCTCCCAGCCATTTGCCTGTATCTCGTCGGCCAGTGGTTTCGCAGGCATGACGACTTGAACAAAACAAAAGCACAGAATGGCCTTACTAACCACCTAGACAACAAAGGGCACAAACTGAAATCAGTAAGACCTATGAAAGGTCTTTGTCAAAACACAAAAGTAACCTCATGCCACAGATGGACGATGTGATCTGGATCCTTGCCGCTAAGTTCAGAGCCTGCTCTTAGAGCACGAACACTAGTATCGTAAATGACTTTAATGTGTTCGTCTAAAGGAACCGGGCGAAAGTTAGTCTCATAAAATGCAGCCTGCAAATTATCATCATGGTCTGTAAGACTTGAATAAAAGATTGCAATACCTGAAGCCATGATGCAACAGCTGCTACATTAGGCATCGCTGCACTCGTTCCTATAATTTGCAACCTCGTGGGGCTGCTGCTTTCATAGTCACCTTTACTGGCCCCATGTCGTAGCTTAGTTCTAGCAAATAACCTCTCTCTTTATCTCCAACCTGCACCAGACTGTTATAAGAAGGATATTGGGATGTCAGTATACATACCATATGAACCTCATCTATAACTACGACTGCTAGTTCGGACAGCTGCCCGTCCTCTACCAGCATATTGATGAGTGAGTTCGCTTTTTGATGGTATGAACTGCAAGTGAAGTATCTGGAGATAGCGTTTTACTCCCGTGAGTCCCAAAATATCCACGGACACAACATGTTCCAGTACCGCCTCTAAATGCTCTGTCTAGCAAAGCAAAAACCAGTTGACGTTTTGACAAAACAAAACCAAGCATACCTTCTCAGAACACAACGCGACATATGGTAAAACCAGCATTGCCATTTTTCCTGTCGCCAGCACTCTTTTTAACATCAAAATTTCTGCAACAAGACTCTTTCCTGCACTGTCAAAAAGTTTTAAGGATTACCATAAGAAATCTCAAGCACCTTGTCGAGGCACAGTAAACAAGACTTTTACCATCCAAAACTCCATCAAGGCGTAGACAATCAACCTGTAGTTTCTTGTAAGTAGGCACTAAAATCACAAACAGTTGGCTTACCTGCCATTGATACAGTCTTCTAACCCCTTTCCGAAAGTATCCTTCACATAATTCAGCCGGAAGCCAATCGGACAGCTTCTCACCGGAGACTGAGGACGACGGATCGTTCACGATTGCCTTTCCTTCTTCAGTGGGAGCTGCAGCAGCTTCTTTGCCAACGTTGTCATGACTCGCAAAGTCGAAGCACACGACTGGTAGCGGAGAGTTCAATAAATTCGGGCCGTCAGGGTTGATACGCGACTTAACTTCCGAGCAGTCACCCTTCTTGCTCCCAAGGACGCGTATTGCCTCGTCCCAGAAGCTATCTCCTGGTGATACATACTTGCTGTCGAGTAGCCAGTTCGGAGTGGGATCGCCGCCATTTCCAGCTCTTGCAGGAGGAGTGCATGGTAGCTTCTTCGCACTGTGCTGAAAGGGCGGTAATTCTCTGTCAGCCACTTCAACCATTTCAGCCGTCGTTGCACCGAGAGGAATCGCCATCTCGTTTCTCAAAGCTTTGCTTTGGAGAGACGTCCATCTTCTCGCTCCTCTCTTGCAAAACATCTCTAGAGGTAGCTGCTACCTTTTTTGTCGGGGAAACACCACTGAAACCAAACACAGGCATCAGCAAAAAAGAATGAAAGAAAAAAGATCATCGTCACTTACTGGAGACAGATCGCCAGGATTTCTTCTCGTTTGCTTTCTTGTCCCTCTAACAATGCACTCAAAGTAGTGAGCTTAAGCATTCGGTGTACAGCCTCGACGTTGCATGTCCTCTAAGAGACCCAAGGCCGCCTGGCCTTCACCGTTTCCAGCGTAGCCCACCACCAGCGCCGTCCAGGACACGACATCGTGCAGTGGCATCTTGTCAAAAACTCTGCGAGCGTCTGCCGAGCTCTCACATTTGACGTAGAAATCCACCAGCGTGTTTGCGACGAAATACTCCAACTCGACACCACCTTTAGCAGCTTCGGCGTGTATAGCCATTCCTCTCTCCAGGGACCGAACTTTTCCTTCACGTTTCCCCGAAAGCCGCACAGCCTCCTCTTTTGATGCCACACTTGTGCAAGCTGAAGCTGAAGCTGGATTCGTTGCCCATCAAGACATAAAGATCGAAACTAATAACACCAATGCTTAGGAGAGGGTACACATCTCCAAGATGATCAAAGCCAGGCTTGAGAACCAGGTAGATCTACACACTCGATGCAAGTCAGTAGACAACACCAAACTACATAAGAAAACCTTTGCTTTGGCAATGTGCGTCGGTGCGTCTTTGAGGCAGTCAGCAGCGATTCCTCCATAAGCTCCAACGAAAGCTTCGTTCCACCAAAGTACCTGGATTTCCAATTAGTTTTTGTTCTTTCGTTTGGAAAAACGATGATAGGTACCTCGTCACAACGACCATAACTCCATCCACACCAGAATTTCCTCTGGCAGCCTAGATTGGCCGTCCTGCCGTTCCTCCAGGCTCTCCACCATCGCTAAAACGATAGCGTTCTTTGATCTAAGCTGGAATAAAATGAAACATTCAAGCAAAGAAGGCGAAATAAATGAACCACCTTGTAAGCCCAGCACTCGTGAGTTGCCCGTGGATCCAAGACCTTGCAAACAAAGGAATGAGCTAAGATCGCGATTTTCTTCTTTGCAAACTAGAGCTGGGAGAGAAATGCCAATGCGCCTTGTTCATTGTCCATTGTCCAGAGCGGCCGTGGCGATGAACTTACTTCGTTTCATTTTGCACTGCGACGATGAGATTGCTGCACCATCGCTCCAAGATTTTGCTCCTCCCTGGCAACTGAAATGCATATACATTGGTGCCAGCGCTGCCGTCCTTCCATCGATTGGCGATCTAGCAAGCATCGCTCCCAGCTATAAAAACCCTAGACGAGGAATCCAAGCACAAGCGCGATCAGGATAGAAATAAAATAAAATAAAAAAACAAATACTTCCATGTTTGTTGTAAAATTTATTAATCATCCTTCTATATTTAACAGAGCAAAACATATTCAATTGAGATTCTTTTCAAGCTTAATGGTGGAGATGAAGACACGTGAGAAAAACAGTTGAGAGTGGAATGTTTTTTTTTTAAAGAGTAAACCAGTTTTTTCGATGGTAAACTTGTTTTTTCATAGCCCTTTTAACTGCCTTATTCCTCCAGAATATCTGCAGACTGTCCTGGTTGATGAGAGCAGCGAACGTGCAACTGCGGTGAAATGCTGAATTACATAAGCGCTCCTGGAAAAAATGCTTCAAAAAAATGGGTTTACCATCGAAAAAACTGGTTTACCCTAAAAAAATAAAAAAAATTCCACTCTCAACTGTTTTTCCCACGTGTCTTCATCTCCAGCCATTAAGCCCGAAAAGAATCTCAATTGAATCTACATTTAAAAGAGCAAGGGCGACATAAGGATGACAAGGACTTGGATGGTATCTACGTGAGCAAGAAGGGGACGATCCCAGTGGAAGAGTAGCTTATGGTATGAGGATGTGTTTTCTCTTATCTTTTGTTTTTTTTTTTAGCCAAACGAGGACTGATTGATTAAATTAAATATCTAGAAAACTTTCTTATAGATTCGTTCCAATACTTGAGAAAAGATCTAACTACTCTTAAGAACCGAGGCCCTTGGCCGGAGCTAGAGCAGCAGTTTGTTGCTTGGCAGTTCCACCACCTGCTTGAAGTACTTGACCCGTATGGAGCCACTGCTGAAGATCAAGCCATTCTCTGACATGTAATACTCGATGCTCCTGTCCTTGCAAGCTTTCTGGAAGTTAATAGTGATGAGAACCTTGCTGGAGTTGCACATGCTACTCACGATCTTCACATCCAGCACTACCATCACCAGATACATTGGGTTCGAGCTCAGAGCCATGCGGCCATTCTTCATGATCTCCTCCAGTTCCTGTTTGGATGTGTTGTAGACACAAACCGGGGACGTCTCGATCTTCTGGAACAGCTGCTACAGATTTGCGAAGCACAAGGGCAAAACATGAAGACTTTCAGAAGCAAGTTGTAAGAATCTCATGACTCCATTTTACAATGATTTGCATATCTCCATTTTTTTGGTTTCAAAGAAATTATTGGTAGAATTTTTTTTTATTTACATATCATTATGTAAAATCTTAACTTCAATAATGTTTGGTAAAACCTTGGTTATGATAGTTTATTTGTGTTAATATTATGTAAGAGCATTATGATACAGCTGATTTTTATGTTTAGCTTATATGAAGGCATTCCAGACGGTGTTACCAATTTTAAGAGGATAGTCAAGCATCTTCTCATTTGATTCTGTTTCTACAGTATCAATGCTCTTGTACCTTCTTGTTGCTCATTCTTGAAAGGATTTAGTCATTTACTTATAAAGAGATTGATATAAGTTTC